GTACCTCCTGTATATCTGTGTGTACTTCCTGTATATCTGTGTGTACTCCCTGTATATCTGTGTAACCTGTCCTGAAAATCTATCCTTGCAAGTAAAAACCATTAAAAATCTTCTCCTGTTGTCGAGTGTGGCTCCTTTATGTAAGTGAGATAAAGCGAGAATATTTTTCTCCAAAAAAGAGCTCACAGTATGCCTTAGGGGAGAAGTCTCACCTACTACCACACCAAATTTGAACTCAGTATCTGTAAAACTAACAGTTATAGCCACTTTTATGTTTTATAATGTTAGTGGCTGCTGACCATTTTGAACTGGGTTGCCTCCAAATGTTAACTAGTTGTAGATAGGGCTGCAACAACGAATCGATACAATCGATAAAAATCGATGATTAAAGTGTTGGCAACGAATTTCATTATCAATTTGTTGTGTCGCGTAATTATGCGTCTTTCATGGTGCTGCGGAGCCGTTTTGTTCACCTGCAGTGCATTGTCAATGCTGACTGACTGAATAAAGTAAAAAAAACAACTCTGCAGCGTGACTTGAACAGAGCGAGGAGGGAGGCAGAAGCAGAGCAGAGCCTGTTTTCAAAGGAAATTAAATACATTTTACAAATGACCGACGCAGAGAAAACTGTTCGACCCAAGTCCTCCAAAGTGTGGGAGCGCTTCACAAAGATAAAAACTGCGCAACATGCAGCTTTGAAAATTGGCGACACGACACGGGAGAACCACGGAGGTGAAACGTAAACATGTCGGAGTCACGAGGAGGAAGAAGGAGCTAAACAGCAGTCTTACTCCCAACTCATGTGTTGCAGGTGAGTCTCTACAATTTAACACATTGTTCTGTTTCCAAGTGAGAAAACGTAACGTCAGTCTGTCTAGTAGATGAAGCTGTTTGTTTGTTTGTTTGCTGATTAAGGGCAGTGATAGAGAACGTGTGTTACTTTTTATTTTATTTAATTGGTACAAGCAGTGTTTAAATGTGATTTATAAATAAATCTAACCCAAAGATAATAATTTAATGATTAAGCTTCAATTTTTAATTTGCTGGCAAAGTCTGAAGACACTGCAGGTATGGCAGGATGAATTGCATTTAAACGGGAATTAAAGTAATTTAATATTTACAGCAACTCAAGAAATGCCTTGTTTCACTTCCTTTTTCTAACAGGAAGTAAAACTCACTCATGGGCACACATATTATTGTCCTTATATGTTTGGGGAGCAGTTCAAGAAAGATTTAAATGTTGTGTCATATGTTTAGTATTTGTTCAAGCAGTCTACAATGTGATTCAATAATTATACTCCAATCTGTACACAGACTGCTGGTAGTTTGGTTCCCAACAACCAGACTGATTTTCACCTCTGTTAGTGGGGTTCTGTGAAAGCTATGAACAGGTAATATCTTACTTACTAGATAACTGATTGTTGTTATTTCTGATCAGATCAACGAGCCAAGACCAAAGTGAACTGGTCTCAAAACTTTTCTCATGGTTCATGCCAACTCAATTTTACAACATTTTTCACTGCCTTTATTTCACAATAAATGGCTATTTACATCTTTATTATTATTATTATTATTTTTTTTATTTTTTTTTGCCAACGCTCAATGTTAGTAGCAACTAGCTGTAGCACTTTGAATGGAGCTTGGGACACTTTCTGCAGTTCTACCATGTTTCTGCTGTAATAAATGCATGATGTAAAACTGATCTCAATGTCACAGTATATAAAGTAGTACTTTCCTGAACCATCATGAAATATTTGAGACTGGAGTCGTTTTAGAATGACATTATTCCACTTTGGACTTTGCTTGGACTAATGGTTATTGTGTCAATAAGATCTCCAAACAGAGTTCAGTGACAGAGCTATCTAACAGGTAAGATCTAAATTGTTCATAACCGTTGATCAACGTTATCAATAAGAAATTATAAATTGTCATTTATCTTAAAAAAATGGAACTGGACCTTTTCTTCTATCTCAGCAGCGGTGCGTTTGGTGATCTCCAGATTTTCCACTAGCTTGATGTCTCCGAGAAAGTTTCCTGAAGCGGAGGACAGACGGGAGAGCAGGTTGTCCTCCAGGGTCTTCAGAGTGATCTTAAAACCATTCTGCTCCTTGGTCAGGTCAGACTAAGAGACAAGGAGACAATGTGTAAAAGTATCAGTACATCAAACAGTTTCAGACACCCAACCTGAGGCCAGGGGAGACACGGCGGGTGGGATAACCTGAGGAAACATACCATAGGGTACCATAAATGCAAAAATTATCAAAAACAGAGGCAGCACAGTGGAACAATTGGTAGAGCTGCCGCCTCTAAGTGAGAAGGTTGCTGGATCAAATCCTGGCTGGGGACCTTTCTGGCTGGAGTTTGCATGTTCTCTCCATGTGTGGGTTTTCTCAGGGCACTCTGGTTTCCTCCCACAGACCAAAAACATGCATGTTAGACTGATTGGTAACTCTAAATTGTCCCTAAGTGAGAGTGAGAGTGAGAGTGAGAGTGAGAGTGAGAGTGAGAGAGAGAGAGAGAGAGAGATAGAGAGAGAGAGAGAGAGAGAGAATGAATGAATGAATGAATGAATGATTGTTTGTCTTGTATGTCTCTATGTGTCCCTGTGATGAACTGGAGACCTGTCAAGGATGTCCCTGTGATGGACTGGAGACCTGTCCAGGTGTCCCTGTGATGGACTGGAAACCTGTCAAGGTTGTCCCTGTGATGGACTGGACACCCGTCCAGGTGTCCCTGTGATGGACTGGACACCTGTCCAGGGTGTCCATGTGATGGACTGGAGATCTGTCCAGATGTTCCTGTGATGGACTGGAGACCTGTCCAGATGTTCATGTGATGGACAGGACACCTGTCCTGGGTGTCCTCCACCTCTCGCACAGTGACTTCTGGATATGGACACCAGTGACCCCCACAACCCAAAAAGGAAGAAGCAGGTGCAGATAATGGATGGATGTATGGATAGATGGATGATCAAAATGATCTACATTGACTTTTTCCACACATAAAATGAGCCCTCTGTAATAGATTAATTTTCTTTCAGTTGCTAACACCAAGCCTCTGCAGAGCAAGAGGTTGTTGATTTGAGCATGAAGAAAATAAAGGAGGTTTGATGGAGAAAATGTGCACACAAGAACCCACCTACCACCACTAACATGAATTCATCTGCTGTGAAACATTAGTTTTAATTAAGAACAAAAACTGAGTTTTACTTAAAACTCCTTCAAACTGATTAGTGCTTCCCCTTCTCTTAAAAAGCTAAAACTCGACAGTTATTTCTCGCTTTGTTCTTAAAATGTGTCTAAAAAAAACTTGGAACTTTTTCCTACAGCCTTGTCTTTGATAAAACAAAGTTATCAGGACCGGGTAACTCTGTACTGTTTCCTTCTGCTTTGTCCTTCATTTTTGTCTGTAGCAGCTGCTTCGTTCTGCTTGATAATGACTTCAATGAAGTTCAACAGAACCTGCTGTGACCCAGGAGGTTGGACTGGTGCTGAGATCTGCTGAAATGGAGATTTTTTTTTTTTTTTCTCCCCAAAACGTGATTGCTGACAGACTGCAACAAAACACAAATCCAAGAGCTTCCTATAATGTGAATGTGCTTGAAGCTAAACCCCCACCCTTAATATAGACATTTGCAGATGGAAAAGGGGGATTAGACCAGTTTGCCTTTTTTGTTTTTGCACTGGTGGGCATTTGCGGTCCTTATACCTACCTACATTTACCACGTCTTTGTCAGCTCTTTCTTTAGAGTTGGTGCATTCTCAGCTCAATGGGGACTGCTGCGTGACGTGATGGGATTTGACTGCTTCATACATAAGCATCCATTGATTGGCTCAGCAAGTTTCAAAAGCTTTTCTGCACCTGCAACTTTTCTAATCTGTTTTAGTATTACTAGCAAGATGAAAAACTACATTGAGAAACCCATGGCACAGAGGTCCCCTGATCCTCATCGTGGCCCACTGTCCAGCAAGTTTTAGCTGTTCCCAGCTTTAACACGCCTGATTCAAATAACTGAGTTATCTACTCAGAATGTCATCAAGTTAATTACTGCTCATTCATTTTACTCAGGTGTGTTGAAGCAGAAAAGCACCTGGCCATGAAGATCAGTGGGACCCAAGTGAATTTCATTATAAAGTAGGTACAAAGAGAGCAGAGATGAATATATCTGTTGAGGTGGGCAACAAGATAATGTGCAGGGCCAGGAATACAGTTTTACAAGATGGAACACAAATGTAGGCCTTGATTTTGGAAAAGAAAATGGCTGCAAGACAATGATACCTGGTCTACACCACTCAAAATTCAGTGCAACTATAAATTTAAATATTTTCTCACAATTCTGAGTCTTCGAAGCAACACTGTTGATGTAATCATTTCAGCCTCTGTCTGATTGTAATTGATTTGCTTTGAGTGTATATTTTCTTAATCTTTACTCCTAGTGAGGATCTTGTGCTGCTTGTCCTGTTGGACCACACAGCCGCCTTTGACACCATCGACCATGAGATCCTCATTGCTAGGTTGGAGCAGTGGGTGGGTGTCACAGGATCAGCCCTCAATTGATTCAGATCTTACCTCGCTGACAGATCCTTTTGTGTCTCCATCAAGGATTTTAGTTCCGCAGAGGCAGAGCTTAAATGGGGGGTTCCGCAGGGGTCCATCCTGGGTCCCCTCTTATTCTCTTTATACCTGCTGCCGCTTGGTGCTATTTTCCAGAAACACAACATGCCCTTCCACTTCTATGCCGATGACTGTCAAATTTATTTCCCCCTAAGACACAATGGTACATGCTCTATTCAACCGCTGCTCAACTGCCTGGCTGACATCAGGGACTGTATGGCTTTAAATTTCTTGAGTTTCAATGAAAAGAAGTCTGAAGTCATGTTGTTCCATCCCTCCAACACGATCACAAACCACTGTATCGACCTCTCCGCTCTAACCCTGTCAGAAAAACAAAGAGTCACTAATCTGGGCATGATAATGGACCCTTCCCTTAAGCTTAACAATCATGTAAACATGATTGTTAAATCATGCGTCTTCCAACTGAGGCGGCTGTCTAAACTGAAGCCCATATTGTCCAAAAATAACCTGGAGACAGTAATACATGCATTCATTACATCTAGGCTTGATTACTGCAATTCGCTGTTTGGTATCAGTCAGACCTCCATTGCAAGACTACAACTGGTCCAGAATGCAGCAGCCCGATTTTTAACCAGTACAGGCAAAAAAGAGCACATTACACCAGTTTTGGCCTCACTGCACTGGTTACTGGTTCACTTTCGAATCCGGTTCAAAATACTCATGTATGTCTACAAATCACTGAACAGTGTCGCCCCCCCCCCCCCCCATCTCTCTGATCTGCTACAACCGTATGTCCCACCACGCTCCCTGAGGTCAGCGGACCAGTTGCCCCTCACAGTTCCAGGAACTCGTCTTAAGCGCAGAGGTGACAGGGCCTTCTCTGTAGCAGGACCAAGACTCTGGAATGAGTTACCTCTGTTTGTCAGACAGGCCCCCTCCCTCTCAGTTTTCAAGTCCCGTTTAAAAACTCACTACTATTCAGTAGCTTTCAACACCAGATGATCTGTGTTTTGATCCTGTATGCTCCACACTGGTTTGTCATCATTTTCTGCATCATTTTTATGTCTATATTCTGATTTACCTCATTTTGTATTTTGATTTGTGTGTTACCTGTTGTTTTGTCTGTACAGCACTTTGGTTGGCCTTGTAGCTGTTTTAAGTGCTTTATAAATAAAGTGGTATGGTATGGTATGCTCACTTCCATTCTGGACCTGTCATTCTGTATCTGTTCCTCCTTCCTGCCCTCTGAAACTCAGCTGGTTGAAGCAGATGGCCGCTTGTCCTGAGCCTTGTTCTGCTGGATGTTTCTTCCTCATGAGGGAGTTTTTCCTTTCCACTGTCTCCTTTGTGCTTGCTCATGATGGGAGACTGAGACAGAATGAAGACTCAACACAATCTGTTGGCTACCCTGCCTTAGATTAAAAATATAAACTGTATATATTTTGGCTGCTCCCTCCTTCAGGGTTTGCCACAATGAACTAACTCGCACGAAGACTTGGCAAGTGTTTTGAAGCCGGATGCCCTTCCTGATGCAACCACAGATCACTGAGCTACCACAGCCCTCTGTGTGGAGCAAAGAGCTGCCATCTAGGTCACCCAGTGGAGCAGATGGTGGGGGTTAAGGGCCTTGCTCAAGGGCCCAGAGTGGGCAAACAAGAGTGGACATAGGTGTGGGTGCTTCACCTTTCCCACCCACATTGTGATGTTGTCAGTCCAGGGCATTGAGCTTACGACCTTTCAATTATAGGCCCACCTTCTCTAACCTATGTACCAACACTCCCCTTACCATACATTAGATAAATAATGTTACTAATTGACCTTAATGTTCTTGTTCAGTGCTCTGAGATAACTTCATTTGTCACTTGGTGCTATAGAAATAAACTGAATTGAATTGAATGGATTTGAACGTCATGTTATTCATTACACTCAATTGAACAGTACCTTGTTCAACATGCCCCTATGGAATTAAAAGGAAGATTATATTTTTTTTTGTTTTTTTTTAGAATAAAGTGGGATGTGTCCTTGCAGCTAAGCAGAAGCAATCACCGAGGGTTTGGTGGACAGAGTCAACTGTGACCTTCTCCATGTATACACTCATTGCTCTTGAGGGTAAAATCTCTCCACACTAAAACATTCCCAACTGGAAACAGTAATGAGTCAGTTTTTAACGATTAGCTTTCCTCTGGCACATTGTACTTGTAATTACCCTTGCTCGGGGAAAAACAAACAATTAACCAGTCAGCAGAACACCCTAATTGGTATTAAAATGAGATATTACATCTATCATTTTTTGGGCAAATGATTACCGAGTGCCATGACGCAGGCCTATTAAGGTAATTTGGGAAGTAGAGCATTTTACTTCTCATTAATGAAGAAGGTCTTGGTAAAAGCTGTGTTGCAGCAAACACATATAAAATGTAAAGGCCTAGTACTCCTTGAAGAATTGTAGATTGCTGTTTCATGCCAGAGTTTTAAAAATCATGTTGAGAAATGAAAAAAATTGTGGTCAAACCTTGAAGTTAATATGCTTAATCTTGTACAATATGT